AAGATGAGGAAGGACAGCTTACTTGGCTGCCGAACAGATGTACCGGAGACATTCCGTGACGCCCGTCCCCGCCTGTAGTCGGTCCCGGCAGCAGGCTCCCTGCGGGGTCCTGAGGGCCGGAGCCTTGTCCCTGGAGACACCTGGGAGAGGCTCGGGAGCTCTGACACCCCCCTCACCCCACAGCCACCTCCTCCTTTATCTCAGTCGGGGAATTCCTCCTTTCCCACCGGTGGGGCTCGCTCCTGGCCCTGCACCGGGCACAGCCCCACACCGAGCTGGCCCGCGCTGCCTCACAGCGCCCTCCCTGAGGGGCTGCTGCCCGCGGGGCAGAGGAGCCGACCTCAGGTGCCTCGGTCAGATGGATGCAAAAGGGTCATTCCCAACCAGAACACGACGGCCATGGCTACCCCCAGCAACCAGAGCGTCCTGTTTCAGCTCGAAAACACAGGATTGAGGAACCTAAACCCTGAGGTGTGCAGAGGAGCTGTTGGTGTTTCGGGATGGGCTGTAGAAATCCTGGAAAGGTGGTGCCAGATGTCCCGGAACCCGTTCACAAGCAGAGAAACGAGACAACACGTGCCACAAGCGTATCACAGCGCTCGGTTCGTGGGCAAAGCCTGGCAGCAGAATGATTCACTGCACCGGGGTGCAGGACACAGACGCGTGGGTGCACGATGCAGCCTGCGCACCCAGATCTCACAGCTCCCCCGCTCTCAGCTGAGCCACGCACCAAAATAGCTGCCTATCCATAAAGGACTCGCTGGCATGAACATCCTCAAGGCAAACGAGGATGAAAAGCTGCGATTCACAGAAGTTCGGTAACAAAACGCGGGTCTCTCCCTGGTGACGGCAGGGAGGTAAGGGAGAGGTCAGTCCTCGCACCCCGACCACCCTCGTCTAACAAAAAGCACCGACCCCAGGCACGCTGAGACACGCGTGACCTTCAGTCTGCCCAGAAACACGCTCATGAACAGAAAACGCCGAAGCGCTGCGCAAGGGCTGTAACACCCTCGCTGTTCGTTGTAATAAAGGCTTTCGTTCCAGAAAGACAAACCCATCTATTTTTTTACAATTAATCACTGGGTTGTCACTGAACTATTGCAACAGGAAATTCACACAACTCGGATTCTGTGAGCCTTCAGCTCCCTTTCTCCCCTGCCCCACACACAATTAACAACGAAGCTAAAAGCTCGATTCTGTTGTACCAGGCCCAGGACAATCTCGCTGGAGTCCCGACGCAGCTTCTCAGCAAACCGCCCAAGAGCGTACGCGCGAGACGCCCCACAGACTGCAGCGGCGATGTTTTTCAGCCCGTTCCCTGCATCCCCTAGGCCAGGCAGAGGCCAGAACGAGATTCCAGCTTACTTTTGCAGTGCTGCCTGCTGGAATGCTTGGGGGAGCGACGGAGACGCAGTGCGCCGGGGAGAGGTGCCTTAGCCTCGGGAATACAACTGTTCAGAAAAGGCAAAGTTAACCTTGATCAAGGCAGCAGCGAACGGAAGAGGGTCTGAAGATGAAACCCGCGCTCAGCGGGACAGGAGGCAGTCGTGACCCTCACCCACCGCGTGCCGCAGCCACGCAGCTGGAGGCAGACGCAAACCCTGGGTCCTCGTGCGGGGAGGCGGCTTTTGGTGCCCTGAGCTCCATTCCCAGAGTTGGGGCCGAGGCTTTGCAATGGCGAACCCCTTGGAGAGGAGCCTGGGCAATACCCTGCAGGGGTCACTGCAGAGACACCCCCTGCCCCGCACGGAAATCAACCCCCAATTCCACCACCTTCTGCTCCGCTCACGGAGTCCGCTCAGACTGGCAACAGCAACCATTCCAGGCGGATCCGTACCTCCCCGTTCTGCTGGCCTTTACAACGGTGGCACTAGCGCTGCTGCAAGAAACACAGCGAAGGGTCACAGGTGCTTAAAGAACGAGTTTATTGACAGTATCTTCACAAATAAACAGTCTAAAGAAAACTTCAGAAATCTCTCAACTTAGAAAATTTAAAATTTTGTTCTCATTGGCAAAAAATTAAAAAAAAAAAGAGATGTCACTATGTTTTTAAACTTTCCTAATTTCAACATTTTGGTTCAGCCCTGTAATTTTATAACACGCATCCAACCCTTGAGCACAACGCAAATCTGGCAAAGCCGAGCTTTCCTCCTGTAAGGGGATCTCTCTCAGCAGGATTTTGGTTTGGGCAAGCGTCTCCCCGCATCCCGTCTGCTTGGAACGCAACAGGTAGCATCGGCAGGAAGTACCTGAACAACCATTCCAACCGAGCCGACTTACTCCAGCGTGGACCGCAACCTGGATTTCCCCGACGTGACACAAAGCATACCATGTAGTACAAGAAACTATCAGCATGCATTTCCGAGGTCGTTTTTGTACCGGGGGCACGGGAACTTCAGACCCAAGAGGGACAATTCCGATACAAATGTACGCAGGTATTTCATAACATTGATATTTATTGCTTTATATGAATACTGTATTGAAAGCCCAAGCATTCCGTTTACACACAGGAATTATACAAGTATATACCGTTTCACAATGGCAGTGAGCACTCATTACAACCTACAAAAATCTACTTTACAGAAATTTAAAAATTCTAAATATCAAAAAGGTACAGTTGAAGAAACAGGTATAAATTTGGCAGCCAGTAATTGTGACCGGGAGGTTGCAGCTTGCGTGTCTCTAAACGTGGGAACTGGAGAGTATAGAGAGTTGAAAGCAGCAGTTTGTGCTTTGAGCTGGTTCGGAAAAAAAACGTAACACTGGCTGTCAAAAGTAGCACGTTCAAAAATATTCAGTTCACTTCCAAAACGTTACACAAATCACGGTGGTTTCTCTGCACCCCTAAACCTCACGGCTGTTGGGCGCGGGCGCGCGACCACGGTGGTATCTGTATTCCTTCTGCTCCAGTGGGGCGGTGGTACCGATGGCGCCCGCGCCGCAGCAGCGCCGAGACTTCCCAGCGCCCTGACGAGGCTCCACGACGCGCTCAGAAAGGCAGGTACCTGCTTCCTTTCCTCCAAGAGAGCTCAACATCTTTTCAAGCGTTTCCTCTACGGAAGGTTTAAGCTAACGGTTGGATTACAACGTTCTCCACGGAAAGCACGTTTTCCCATAAATAAATGAAATCCTTTCACGCAGGCACCTCAGAAGTATACAAAAAAAGTTGTAATCTCAACAGTTCTCTTGGAATGTGTTTACTCTGGTGTTTTCAACGCTGTTAGTATTTCCAGGGTTTCATATGGGCCAGATTCCATTTGTTTTGTTTTCCAGAGGCAAAACAAAGCACCTGGAGAGGTGAGCTCAGTCTTTTCCTATAGAAAAAAAAGTATTTGCTGTATTCGTCTTCTATAGAAACAGAAAAATATACCATTTTCCCCCTCAGAACAGCGAGGGTACGCGTAGGTGTGCATGCGTGCAGACATGTGTGTGAAGTGTAACACGTTTTAAACGCACAACGTAAGGTTCCATAGTGTGTATTCAAATAAAAATCTGGAAACCAGCACGAAACCCCCTATTTCGCATGTCAAATGCTGGAACTGTAACCAAAAGATGAAGGAACTGCTAGAGCTGTCAGAAAAAGACATGACAAAAAGCTTTCTTGGTTACGTACAACTAGGTGTGGTAATCTCCAAAAAAGTTGTCAAAATTATAATTACCTTCCAGTTTAAAAACTTTTATTCTAAATAAAAAAAACTATACACAAACCACTGATTCGACCAAACGTAAGTTCAGCGGTAAGCAGGACCTGAAGGAGCTGGTATTCACAGTTCTTATCATGTACAACTCTTTCAAGGTTCAATCCATGGAGAAGTTTATTTTACAACCTGCTTCTTTTTGTAAAACTAAAGGTCCACTTTATTACATAAAATTATTTATACAGTGTAAAACCAGAGCCTTATGGAAAATACTGCATCTAAGTATTTAAATTAGTCTTGCTCCATGGGTTCATCTGCAACCTCTGTTGCTTCATCGCTGTTTTCCATAGGGGTCTCTGATGAACTCTCTGGAGTTGCACTAGCACAGGACCCTAACTCTTCCGTCTCGCTGCAGTCAGCTCCGCTTCGGGCAGATCCACCACTTGCACTGTCATCCGAGTGTAAATCCTTCCCCGCTTGCGATGGATCCGACTCCTCCATCTGATGGCTCTCCTCACATGCCTCTTCCTTCGCAGTGGGGGATTCAGTGTCTTTGCCTTCATCTTTTCTGTCCAGACCAACGTTTCTGGGAGACAGGAAGGACTCTAGAAACGGTGAGAGTACAGCATTACTAAGGCGTTTTTAGACAAGTCTTAATCCTGCTACTTTCCATTCCCAGCTCCGCTGAGCAAGGCCTCTGCAACACAGCCAAGGCCAGGAAAAACTGACAGTCCCCGATTTATCCGGAAGTGAAAAGTATTGGCTATCCCCATGAAGCTGCCTGAACTATCCTAACAGAGCATGAAATAAAGTTCTTTTTTAATTCAATAGGTAGCTTCACGTAACTAAGCTTCCGTGGATGAAGACATGCTACAAGTAACTTGTTTTTGCTTCCCCACACTCCCTCCTTTGTCTTCAGAAGCAGTTGTTTGGGAATGCTGAAGACAGCGCTCCCTCCAGTGCGCATCCATCATGATCTAGAGGAGCATTTCAGACATACATCGGTCACAGGGAACAGGTAGTACCAGCAAACTTGGGAGAACATGTCAAGAATAGATCAGTTTAACTGCAATTTTCTTCCTCCTGTCGGGTTCAGGGCCTGCCTCAGCGCACGGTCGTTTTCACCGCAGCAGAGACTGTTGCTCAGCCCCCGCAGCGAAAGGCCGTCACTTCATACGCGTAGCTTAGTCGTTTATTAATAACGGACAGTCCCATGTAGGTGTGACCCACCCTCCTTCGAGAAGGGACGAGCACATCTGACGACACCCTAAAGCAGGGAGTCTCCGGTTCCTGCTGCACCATCACCACCCTCTGATAACTCACTGCCCAAGGAGACTTTGAGGTACCATTTTACGCATTTTTAAATAGAGAAGTAGGACAAAGGAAGAAGTGACAGAATTCCTAAATCACGTGAAACTGAAGTACGAACAAGCAGTTCATCTTTATGCCCAACTGGAGACATGCAGTAATGGCATCGGCCCCCAGCACAGAAAAACCCAACTCCCTGGAAAACGTACAGAAAAAGACAGTAAAAGAACCTGAAATACCTTCCTCCTCTTCCTCTGTACACTGCTGTCTGGCACAAGTAGCCTCTTTTTCTTTATCCTGAGATGTAGAGGATGCTTCTGTCTCTTCCCCCACACCTGAAGAGGCTTCACTGGAGGCGGTTTGGTTAGGTGCATCTCTGGCTTCCCCTTCCTTGTCAAATTTAAGTCTTTTTACCTCATGTCCTTCTGCTTCTGCAGGATCATCTTCAGAGTGCTTATTTTTTACCGGGCTGCTCTGAGCACCCTCCGATTCAGATGCTGGTGATTCACTATAAACAAAAGCAGTTGCAGTTTTTATTGAAGAAAAACATTCTGTATCTTATCACACTTTTTTTTTTTTTTTTAAGAAGTTGCTACTTCAAGTTAAACCCTCTACAACAGGTAACAGCGGAACTCACTTCGCTTACTCCATCACAAAACCGCAGCGCCACCACTCCTCCTTCACCTGGCTGCTGATGCCAACGCAGAGTGGTCACGCTGCTGCGGTGGGTCCAAGCTACACAGTTCCTACTGTCAGGATCAGCTGCAAACGTTTCTGAAATACACTGTCTGGCAACAGCTTAACGTCCTGACACAGAGTTAGACCTGTCAGTGTCTGCCCTCTGCTGCTCGCTCTTCATCCTCGCTACCCATCCCGCGCACCTACAGATGCGACTGCACAACTGAGCCATGAGTTCCCTACCCAGCCCGAGGAGCTGTAAGTACACACTAAACCCTGCTGCAGGTGTTCATACCGTAAGGCTTACTCACACATGCCTCAGACGGCCATTCTTTTAAAACCTAAGTGAAAAAATCTGAGCATAAATGAAACCCCAGAATATGTGACTTCTCACAAACCTGTGTTTTTTGTCTTCTGTTTGCTGCAAGCTCGATTCTTTGTGTTCCGTGCTGTCTGGCAAACCGTTTGTTGTCATAGGGGTTGACAAAGAAACCTTCGGTCGATTTACTGGTCTGGGAGTTCCAGGTCCATTTACATTAGATCTTTAAAAATCATAATAATTAAAAAAAAATGAACCCATCCTTTCAGTAAAGTAATTTGCTCCTAATAGGCAGAAAGCAGCTATAACCTTGTTTTAAAATATCAAAAAACCAAAAATGATGAAGTAATTCGCCATTTCATATTGAATAAAAAAATTCCTTGCTTACAACATGCAAACTGTGATCAAACCATTAAAATAATTAAACAAACCCTAAACAATGAGGTTACAAAAAGATCAAAAAAATAGAATCACAGAATGATTTGGGTTGGAAGGGATCTTAAAGACCATCCAGTTCCAACCCCCCTGCCGTGGGCAGGGACACCTTCCACTAGACCAGGTTGCTCCAAGCCTCATCCAGCCTGGCCTTGAAGACATCCAGGGATGGGGCATCCACAGCTTCTCTGGGCAACCTGTCCCAGTGCCTCCCCACCTTCTCCATAAAGAACTTCTTCCTGATACCTAATTTAAACCTCCCCACTTTCAATTTAAACCCGTTACCCCTTGTCCTGTCACTACAGGCCCTTGTAAAAAGTCCCCCCCCCAGCTTCCTTGTAGCCCCCTTCAGGTACTGGAAGGCCGCTTCAGTACTCAAATAGAGCACATGGTGTGTATGTTCATGCCCCCTCTACCCTCCTTCTGTCAGTGTCACAGCCCATTTCTGAGGTTCCCAGTTTGGGATCAGAATAGGCAATAAGGGATCTGAACTAGCTATTCCCAAGCTTCCTCGCTTGAATCCAGAAAGTTAACTCCCTAAACTGAACTTACCTGTCAGAGTACCCTGGTGAATTTCCTGGGAACATAACACCATTCATCCGATTTAAACTATTGGAATTATTTTTCCTAAAAAAAAAGAAAGAGAAAGGTAAAATTTAGAAAGTTATGCACACAGGAACTTTATTATTTTTCCACCACCAGGTACGGTATAAAATAGCAGCTTGGTGTTCAGGGATGATCCTGACCTGTGCCACCTACCTGATTCCAGAGCTGTTGGCTCATTTCCCAACTCCTACACCTAACACTGCAGACCACTATGTCACAGCTAGCGACAACGAAAGCCGCACCCTGCACGTCTGCCTCTACTAGACACACACGCATGCACACAGTCGCCCCTCTGCTTTCAGGTTTCAAGAAAAGGAGTGTTGTACTTACTCTGAGGATGGATAGACGCAGCTGACAACCATGACATTCTGCAACACACAAACAACGCAGTGAGAGTTCAGAAACAGAAACTTCATCTCTTGACAACACCCCAAATGCAGAGTTACAGGATTTGGGTCATAACTGTTAAGGTATTTCTGCAGAAAACTGGGCTGAGAGCTACCAACAGATGACAGACACCAAAAGCACCTCTGCTCCCTCTTTACAAGGTACACTAGGAGGCAGCATTTTCAATAAATGGGTTACTGTCAAAAGGAGACCAGCGTCTTAACCCTCAGTCCTGAGCGTTTGTCATTTCTAACTGAAGCATCTTTGGAAAGCCAAGTATTCCAAAACGCTAAGAAACTGAATTACTGGAGAAACGCCCTATTTATACACAAGCCCTGCATTCGAAGTGTGCAAGCACTATTGGCTATTTTTGGCACAGCCACGTTTCAAATAATAAATTAATGTGGCAGAAATAATTATTAATTCAGTCCATTTTGCTTAGCCCCCTGTTGTGGTTTAATCCCAGCCAACAACCAAGCACCACCCAGCCGCTCGCTCACCTCCCACTCTCCCAGCTGGATGGGGAGGAGAATCAGAGGAAAAGACAAGGAAACTCATGGGTAGAGATAAGAAAAAAAACTCGTAACAGAAAATAAATTAAATACATAGTGATACTAATAATACTAATACTAATACTCGTAATATGGAACGAAATTAATGGCAAAGCCAGCAAACTATTCCCCACCCGCTGACCGATGCCTAGCCAGTCCCCAAGTAGCAAGAGTCAAAGTTAGAGCGCCTGAGAGGGGCCCCCAGCCCACCCCCCAACTTATATACTGAGCATGACATTTGATGGCATCAAATGTCCCTTTGGTCAGTCTGTGTCAGCTGTCCTGGCTGTGTCCCCTCCCACCTTCTTGCAGAGGAGCAGCTGGGAACACGGGCAGTGTCAGAAACTGCCAGAGTCCTTGGCTTAATGTAAACATTGCTTGGCAACCACTGAAAACATTAAGGTGTTATCAACGTTCTTCTTAGTACAACCAAAACACAGCCTCATACACTGTGAGGAAAGTTAACTCTATCACAGCCCAAACCAGCACACCACCTCTCCCTCCTGAATGGCACTGCGAACTAAAGCAATTGTAACACCTAGAAACAGCGCTGAGAAATGAGACAAGTTTCCAAATCAATACTTAGCCAAATTATAGGGAGGGGCTTTTATCACAAGGCCAGCTAAACTGACCCACATGAACTTTAATGAGGGCTCTCCATAAAACCTGGGGCATGGTTTCACAGATCTCATTGTTGGCTAAGAAACTGCTTTGTGAAATCCCCGTCTCATCGGTTATTCCTGACCATCTCCATCCCATATTAAGTCACAAGAATACACCCGACTGTATCCACTCTAACAGTGAAAACAAATCCATTTACCAGTTAACCCTTCTTCAATTGAAGAGATTCAATAGGAACCTCAAGCCAATTTTGCCATCAAGAAAATCCTACATGGAACTGTATCCTGAAAGTCTGTTACTGACTCCTGAAAGAGCCCACATTCTGACATAAGCTCTAAAATACCATTAAATGACATGGAAGCACACAGATGTAGGCAGAGTCCTCTGCGTAAGAGGATTTAAATACTGAAACAAAAGACAGCAAGGGGAAGGGGCTCCCTTCTTCAACTCCTGGACCTACGTGTCAAAGGAAATGCCCGATCTCAGCATCAAATTATTCAGCTCACCATGTGATTATTTCTAGCTAGGACTCAGTATAAAAAGCAACATTATACCCTCCCACAAACTACAGTTTGAGTACTGCCCAGTGATTAGGAGACACAAACAGTTACAGCACTGAGATTTATATTTATGTCTTAAACAAGTTATTGTAGAACTGCTTTTTTTATGTTCAAAAAGTATGAAACAAACTCATAGACTTCGAACAGCTATTAGCTATACTATGGCTGTGAGCCATAAGAAAGCAACAGACCTTTGGGAGCAATTCCCAAGTTATCTGAAGGCTGGCTGTGACTATTTAGCTGTGTGCTCTCTCAGAAAAATACCTACCTTTTCCACGCCTCTTAGAAATTTGTCTGTTCCTGTGTAATTCCTCCTAGGATCTGTCAGCAACTCACAGAGTCGCTGAATAGTGAAGGGGATGCTGCAATGAAATAGATTTATAACAATTTAATTTTATTTTTATGAGGATGACTGCTAGGAAGCAAAAATGTTATTGCTTTCTCCCCCTCACTGAGAAGATAAAGAAAACAGTACTGAAATTTGTCACCATTAGCAATACAGGGTAGTAACTCACGGCCTTATTTTTCCCTCTCTCATACTCCAAGGTAACAAAGCATCATCTTGTGCTCACCACCACCAAACTCTACTTCAGAGTCCTAAATAGACCATCCCACAACTCAAACAATTCACTAAAATAATGAAAAGGAAATCAGATCATCCACAGTAAGTTACAGACTGTTATTATTCAAATATAGAGAACAGAAGTGGCAAGCGATTCAAAACAAATTTGAGTCATACACACTAGAGCTAAACTTGTACTTTATTTCATGTTTTACAAAATACATTTACAGAAAAAGCATTAAATGTTGGAAGTAGAAGAGCCATTATACTTCAACTGTTACAAATACTCTGTTTTGCCTCAAGTGGACAGTACACTTCTCTGTCAAGGTGAAAATAACTGAACTCACAGCAAGATCTATCAACCCATGAACATCCCATTCACACATTCTGTTTTCTGACAGTTCCGCACTCAATTTCAGCCCTACTTAAATGAGAAACTCACCTTTCAGACAAGAGTACTTTACACACATCTACCAGTTACCCGAGATGTCATACACTTTCATCACAATTAATGTCACATATTAACAAGCTTCTGTGACTTTTGACAAAACAGTAGAATAGTTTACAAGTTATTTCAATAAAATAATGAAGAATGATGCATTTTTACAGATACCTATTTGAAGCTGAAGCCATAGACATTTCAAAAATTCATCTCAGAAGAATACTAAATGTAGTGCTTAAGAGCCATTTCTTGATTGGGAATACAACTCATGGATCAAATCCAGAGCAGTATCAATGCTGACTGACTTGCCTGTGTCCCTGCACTGTAGATTTTTGTAAAACCTGAACTGTTACTATTTTCAGAGGAACTCGGCACACGGTACCTTAAGCCCCTTTCATCAGCTAACACAGCATGGATCTCGGGCTTAGCTGCCCCGCTAAAAAGCCACCTCTTAAAGATGCGCCCATCTACCACTAGTTCAGTGCCAACAGGTCAGCTGTGGAGAGGGAGAATACAGCTGAGGAGGTACTAAATACATTAAACAAAAAGTAATGCCGTAAGATAACAGTATTCCTAAAGCATTTGTTTTGACATATTAATAACAATCGCTTTAAAAAGGCAAGTAAAATGGCAGAAACCAAATGTTTTGTGACATGGACAAAATACAATTCACCTCCCTGTTTTGGCTCAGAACTATCTCCTCCTCCAACCTCAAAATCTGCTGAGTACCAACCAGGAACAAGCGTTCCTTTTAATTGAGTTTATTACACGAAGGCTCTTAAGCTTGACAATGGTTCTGAAATTCCCCACTCCAACACAGTCACAAAAGACTTGATCTGTTTACTTTTCCACACAACACAGGGACACCACCAAATGTACCTGTTTCTCATGCACGGCCTTTTTGTGCTTGGGTTGAGAAGTCCGTAATTAAAGAGACTTCGTAGTTTTTTAATACACTGTCCATGCAAAATCAATTTGTTTCACAGGAAAAAAAAAAAAAAGGTGCCTTCCTATTTTACTCTCAACTACAGAAGTTTTAAATAAAGCCAAAACTAGTTCATTTCCCTCCAAACTTTTCAACAGTAAACTGCACTTCGTTTATTGGGCAGCAGGTGGCACCAAGTGTCACACTATTCCCTCCTGCACTGCGATCTGGTCAACATTTGTGAGACTTCTTAGATGGCAAAATCCTACGTTAACTTCACTTCAGGAATTCTTTTCGCTAAAACTACCATTTTAAGAGTTTAAAATAGTTTAACACTTATTTTAAAATAATAGAAGCAATTGAAATTGGTACATCTATACATGAACACCAATGTAAAAGTCTGAGCAGTATGAGAGTTCATCTTAAATGCTTAAAAATGCCATTAGTTCAGTACACAGGCTGCATGCTAAGAATTCACTGCACGGACAGGATTCAAGTGGAATCTGGGAAAAAACTACTTAAAACAGCTATATTAAACTGGTGCAAAAAAGAATACATGAAAATTTGGATTATGTCTGGTTTATTCACACTGTGAAGACAGATCTGTGTTAGAGATCCCCATAACTTACCTTGGGACTTTCTGCCTCACTAGCAAAGAATCAAGAAAATTGCAAGTCTTATGAAGTTCCTACTCCAAAGCAATTCTAGAGTCTAGCACAAGAATCTGGCTCTGTAAGCACATTACACAAGGTCAAGTACGATACGGTAAGGTTAAAACAGCCAGTCTGTGCTTTTTTAAAAGATGCTGCATCTAGGAAAACCCCAAAACAGGGTCATTAGGAATTCATTTCTTTGACTTAAAAAAAAAAAAAAAAAGCTCATTTTAATGAACTATTTCCCTCACCCTTTTAAACAAACACCAATAAAAACATCCAAATAATAAAGTTGCATCAAGTAGCTTCCTCTCCCTGTGCTACGCTGAAATGACAGCCCTGGATACATCCAGTTGCACACGCCAAAACCTGCTGCTGTTACTTTTTGGACACATCTCCACACAATTCAGCTTTCACATTCATACCTTCACTGTAGGATTTACTAAACAAGCTAGTCTACAATCCTAGATTCCAAAAGTTCCTAATGTATTATTCTCTTTAAGGCAACTAATGTAGGAAGCTTGCTCCCTCCAAGACGGGGTGGTTCCCTTTGAAGTATGAGGAAGCTGAGCGCTCTGAAGCGTTACAGCAATAGGCCAAAACAGCAGGGCCACAGAGTAAGCTCCAGACTCGGTCACTCAGAGGTTTGGCTAGTACAGTTTGGAACAGCAGCATGTAACAGCAGCCCATTCATTCGCTGCCTCCGTGCGAGAACATCCCAAGTGCTGTGGGCAGGGAAACATTAAGGAAAAGTTGGGGGAGGCGGGAGAGAGACTCGGGCATAAAGGCTAAGCTTGTTTTTAAATCCCTGCAGTGAATTAGCCCGGTATAAATACTGGGTAGCTGAGAACAAGCTGAATTTCACACTCTTAGAAGTATCCCACATGAGAGCATTTTGGGAGTGGAAGACAAGATCTGAATTCTAAGAGACACTTAAACAGCAAATAAATTCGTGTAGAACAATGACAGTAAAACTTGTTCACCTAGCATCAAAATGTGAGGGTAAGGATGTCTCGGGGGCACCTCCGAATCTGAAATTTCAGGGTAACAGGGAGGCAAGCTTCATAGATATGCCCACTTCCAAGCTGAGAACACCACCAGAAGTCTCTGAAGTAAGCACTGAGACAAGAGAGCAATACAGATCAAATAGCCCAGGTCTCTCAGTAAGTACCACTCGATCTATGAACCTGAATCTGGCACAATTTAGCAAACCAGAACCTTGATTACACCCTGCCTCCTCATCACGCCGTGTCGGTCACAGCATGACTTCTCCAAAAGCTACTGAACTGCCACCAAACAATTAAGAACTGAACTCCAAAAAGATTTCTTTCAATTAAGTATTTCAAAATATACTGGAAGAAATCTGACTTTGCTTCTACTTTACTTGTGAAATGCACATGGTAATACCATGCTTCATTGAACTGTATTACTTAAAAACTAACTACACACAGAAAAAACTGACATGTCACGGGATGCCACGGTTTTCGTTCAGACAGAATAAAGTGAAAGTTCTGGAATGACTGTAATGCATTCCCATACACTTGTTCCCACTCACTATTTGGGGAAGCTAAATGAACAGTCAGAGATGGACAGTACAAACTACTCAGTTAAAAATGAGAAAATATTGTTGTTACCCTGATTTTAGACAACAAGTGATACATACCCGTTAAATCCAGTAACAATTTTCAGGATTCTTTCTTTCATCTCTTCAAAGGGAATATATTCCACATTTGGATTGGGGGGCCCTCTTGGTTCAGGAGCCGAGGTTCTGAAATCATCCATTACTTTCTCCAGTTTGAAAATAAAATAGCCTTTAAACTGAGACCACTGAACCCTGCACAAAACACAAGAATTAAGACATATGTAGATCAGCCCTAAACCCCCAGAAAACAGTATAACTCTGTTTGCGAAACAACATTCATGCTGCTATGCCAGTCCTAGGGTGAGGCGAGTAATGCAGTATTATTTTTCTTCCTGAAGTTAAAGCATGACAACTATTTCAGTCATTACGCTAGAACAGTATTACACAAGTCAATTGCCATTAAGAACAGGTTAAACCATTTCCATACAGAACCAACATCCACGCTTCCTATTCAAACCTAGGTATGAAACAGCACGCACCCATACAATTCACCCGGGAGGTTACATGCCGCCTGAAGTTTTCACCGAGGTCACAAGAGAAACAAGGAAAAACAAAAAAGAAGTGTGTTTCAAGTCTGGAAGCCCTACAGCAATTATACACAGCATTATCTGCTTCCGTTACAAAATCTTTCTGCAAGGCCTTTAGCACCTAGCTGCTCACTGTCCATGCACCTTAAAAGCATTTAATAGTACCTATTTTTCTCAGAAATGCTAATATATTTTATATCTCAGTTAGCACTTGCTGATTAATACTTCAGTAAACATCTGACTCTTGAAAAACATTCCCACAACAGTTATCTACTAAGATGTTTCCAAGTCACCTTCCAACTTAAAGTTTTATCATTTATAGAATTTGATAAATTGAAGTTTTCAAGAAAACAGGGCTCTCGCGTGTATCCAACAGATAAAGTTGGAAACCACTGAGAACAGTGCCAACACAAGCCTCAGGAGAAGCTGGGCCTCCTCTGGCTACCGCACTTCTTATTGACACAGGGAACACCTTGAGAGCAACTGACCTCGTTCAGTTAATACCGATTTTATTCTATGAGTGCTGCTGCAGGGGCTTCCACAGCTACAGGATGGAGAGACTAGTGGAGAAAAAGCAGCGCTAGCCTGAAGAGCCCTGACTGTTTGCAGCCCCACATAACATCTGATCTTCTGTCAGGCTGACACAACTATCTGTGCTGAAGCTACATCCAGTGACTCTACAGAAAAACAACGTTTGTGTCTTCTCCTTAGACTCAATGGAATTATAGAGTCATAGAATCATTTAGGTTAGAAAAGACCTCTAAGACCATCAAGTGCAGCCATTAACCTAGTGCTGCCACAGGAATGAGATGAAACGGGGAGAAACTTAGCTCAGGTTTATCTACAGAGATTCAAACATGAAACCTGTCTTTCGTTAGGCATGACAAATTTGCAGCGGGGAGAAGTCTGAAGAGGAAAGCAAACCTCCCTTTTCCTTCACAAGAAACCATTAAGCACCTCGCAGAGGGAACACAGGACTTGGTAAGTAATAATAAAACCAGACACTAAAGTAGAAAGAAGAAACAATGTCCCAAAAGGGCACGGCATTGATAGATTAAACAGCATCACTGAGTCCCACTGGATTATTGCTCCAATTAGCATTCCACAGCCAAAGCAGAATACTATGTTTCCAATATACAATATCAGGCATTACTACTACAAATATTAAATTTAAAAGCTATCCAACTCTGCAGTGCTACCACCATGAGACCACAGGTCTCATAACAAGTCACAGATTTAATACACAAGCACATCACAAAACAGAAAGACCCAGTGAATAACCCCATGCCAGAGGAGGATTACTTCCTACAGAGCATCCCAGAGCTTCACTTGCCTCCTGAAAGGGGATTCCACTATTCTTCTAATCTTTGACCAACCCATTTAAGCTTTTTTCCCCACTTTAAAGCTTGAGCTATTCTTTTTCCTTGTTACTTATTTCTTGCTAAACAGTAACACCTTTTCATAGACTATTAACACATCAGTGTTGCGAAAGCAACCAACTACAAAGTGTAAAATGGCAACCTACTGCCAGAAAGCAGTACCCACCACCTCCCTACAACGCCAAAGCTACAGAAAACTAAGAATGCAACATTTTGCCCCTATACGGAAGTCCAGAAAACTATCACGTTTTAAACTCAAGTATTTTTAATTAGTACTTCTTCTATTATAAAAGGGCTAAGAACTTGCATCTGCAATACTGACATAAAAAGCATCTTTCACCCTGTATTTCAGAACACTCCATCAATGACTGCCACCTAGGTGACAGTCCAACTCACAAACAGAAGGAGCAGACCTTATGATTAAACTCATCCTGCAGTCACAAGCCTGAGTACAGCAACACCAGCTTTAAACCAACAAAACAAGCAGTTGCTAGAAGTAGCCTGACCACAGCGGCAGGAACACAGGACAGGCTTGCTGTTCAGACATTTACTCGGTTTCTCAAGTGGATTTTTTCTACATTGCTGAACTCCCTGCTGCTGTGGCTGCGCTACCAGCGGCATGAAAGCTAACTGGTTCAAAGCAAGTGATACCTTCACACTGCAATCACAGATGCGACTGCAGTTCGTACCATAAACAGCTGCTTCGAAGTCAGAGGTGTCCCATGCTTCTAGAGTGTAACTTCCTGACCTCACTGTTGTAATTTAGACATTAAAACATTCTCCTGTTTAGAAGATAGTCTCGAACCCTTTCAACCTATGCAGCTGGTTCTGATGAACAGCTTTATCGCAGTACCACTAAGTTACATGGGAACCCCAGCCATTCAACAGGAAATACTATTTGCACCACAACAGGCTGAGACAGCTCCAGACATCAACTGTGTAGGCTAAAATTCAGTCCTGCAGTGGCAGCACAGCAGATTCCTGGAAGGCAGGAAGGAGGTGGAAGGTTTCTGGAGGGTAGAATGCAGGACACTTGTTTCTTTTAGGGCAGACTATCATTATTCTAGGATGAAGAATCTCCACCTGCTGCATGCCACCCTTCAGTCACCTTCCTGCCTTCCATACCAACCCAGCACACAGCAATCCCTCCTACTTACCTCACTCTGCGTCTGCCAGGCTGCTAGGAAGGGGCAGAGCTACACACTACTCCTACAGGAGGAAGGAAATATTTCAAAAGCCAGGGGGGAGCAGCTCAAGAAGGCAGGTTTCTGCTCCTTTTGCTTTCACCCTGAATGGCAATTGCTTCCTTTCTCCCCAAAGCCAGTTCCTTTCTCGGCAGCACGTAGCACCATGCTACCAGGCACTGACAATCTACCTCCTGGACAGCTGCGTGTGCTGCCTCTGGGCTGAACTAACTCGGACCGAGCCCTCAGAAAGAAACGTAATACACAAGGCGCCTAAAAGAAGGATTTATATGAAAGAATCTGACTTCAAGCAACCTTAATTATGTGCATTTGTTAAAGACAGTGTACTGCAAAGTTGAATACTATTTTAAAACTATTTGTAAAAGATTACACTCAACACAGGCTACAAAACTGAAGAGTATCTGGCTGTGTATCCGAAATACCTGAAAAAAGAAATAGTAAAAATAATGAACTCCTGACCCCCCAAAAAAGCTGAAGGAACAGTAAGATTTTCTTAATTTCCATTTACTTCAGTGGAAGTGATCAAAAGAGAGTGTCAAAAGAGGAAAGTTACCTCCCCCATTTTACCAGTCTATGAAAATGTCACGTAGAACTTGGTATCAGCTAGTTTAAACTCCTGAAGCTCACTTGCATCTCTTCTATGCAGAAAGCCATTTAGTTCCTAAATTATAGGTAGAAGTGTTAAGCCAATAAAACAGAAAAATTAAGATTTAAAATGGCATATCCTCCAAATTAGCAAAGCAGTCTGTATCTACACGTCTAGAAATTTTGAGTTACCAGCATACACTGAAAAACTGGCCACTAGAAAGCCAGACAACAGTAGTGAGAATTCATGCAAATTGTGAGTGTCTGCTCTCATGAAAATTGAGTTACCAGCATACACTGAAAAACTGGCCACTAGAAAGCCAGACAACAGTAGTGAGAATTCATGCAAATTGTGTCTGTTTTCATGAAAAGAAAAACAACTTTTCCCTATCACAAGCTCCGTGAGAACAACTCCCACATTAGGATGCAAGACCTTGGGTTTAGGTGCTTTCTTACAAAACAGGAGACACTGAACTTTCTTACAAAACAGGAGACACTGAAAATGAGCAAAGTCTGGTAAATACCTTCTGCAGTTAAATCCAGAGCCAAATGGAAGTAAAAAAAAAAAAAAAAGGACACCCTCTTCCACGCAGCTTTATGTGCAACCTCACTAAGTTTTATACACTGGAAATAGCTGACAAACACTTTAATTGAAGAAATTCCATGCAGAAAATAATATGCATGCTTTCTTCTGAGCAAGCTTGTTTATAGATACTTGCTCTTCCCACTCAGCATTGTAAATAGCTAAATGCACACTTATGTCTCCTAAACCGTGCTTTTCCTCTCCACTCCACCTACTTGTGAATTTGTTGTAGCAACTTTGAGAATTCCTTTATAGCCAACCAATGAAAAAATTCCTGTGAACCCTATATGATCTGTAAAAATACCTTCAGAAACAACACTTCAAAAATTCAGTTGATCCTAAAATGTTTTGGCTCAGTGTATTTTCATTCTAGAGAATGACAGCTTTGAAATTCTATACATCTAAAGCATCTTCCAGTAAGGTATCTGGGTCATCCTGTGTAAATATACCTGTACAAAGACAGCTCTCCCGGGCTAACCAGCCTGTGGTTTCACAGATACTCCATCATAAGCTGGCGTTTTTTTCCTTCAATAGGGTCCTCTGCTTCCCTCCCACCAGCTCCCGCACCATCCTCCCCTTACATCAATCTAAAGGTTTTGCTCTGACATACAGAAAATTAGAGGAAGAAACTGATTTTACTGGGGGCAGAGGGGAGAACACCAAACCAACTCAAAAAAATCCCACACCAGAGGCAGTCACAAATGGCTGAAAAGAACCAACCACAGCCCCTTCAGAACTACAGCTTGTATAGATACACACATCCTAGCACAACTACACATCTCAAATTCTCCCAGGACCTATGTAAATGCTGGTAGTTTAACTCAACAATGTAAAGTTTTTTAAAAAGCACCTTTCATAGCCGAGGGACAGACAAAAGCACAGAAGCGAACAGAGTCCAACAGTCCAC